CTGTTGCCTATCAGCCTAGGTGTTCTGAGGCTAATGATGGCCTGGAGATAGAGTTGGGGGACATGGAGATATCCTCCACTATACTCTTTGGTCCAGAACCTCCCAGTTCATGTTTATACAGGGTTGGCCTTGGCACTTGCCTATTGATCTACTGACCCCCACCTAACACACACACACACACACACACACACACACACACACACACACAGAATGGGGCTGTGGAGGGGAGCAGGCAATGGGCACTAAGCCCTCTGAGCTTGTATTTTCCCAAAAACTATGTAGTTTCCCTCTTCCTGTTTGGCTACAAATTTCTTCAGCATGAGAGTCTCACCTGCTTTCCCTCTGTTTTTATGACACCAAGCATCATGTCTATACATGCAGGCACCCAATTAGAATGACCAACTCATCTTTGGTTTGCCTGGGACTATCCCAGTTTTAGCATCAAAAGTCAGTTCTGCATCTTGGAAACTCTGCTAGTCTCAGAGAAACCAGGATGGTTGCTTTCCCTCTCAATAAAAGAAGACTCTGCCTCAGAGAGCATGCAGGTTGGCCAATTCTGAGAGTGTCTAAGACTTAATGCAGTTAGCCCAGTGAAGACAGGCAAAGAACCCAGCAAGGAATGAGGGTTGTCATCTGGGGCTCTCATGCTGACAGGAGACACAGGTCATCCACACACATGGAAATGACAAGGGTGCCATAGACTCCTAGTGACCAGTGCAGCATTTTGGAGCCCAAGCTGAAGTGCTGCAAAGGTCTTCCTGTATTCTTAGGAAATGGACTTGACATCACAGAAGGCTTCCCAGAGAAGGTGAGTTTGAAGCCCATGGGTTGGCAGACACAAGCAGGGGAAGAATCCTGGGTTGGAGACAGGCAGATGCAGGTGGAAAGGAAGCTACTATAGGTTGTCAGTTGTTCATGAACATGGAACAGATAAACCACTCCAGCCTTCCTATACCCAAGACCTGGCTGCAGGAGAGAAAGGAGGTCCAGAGAGAAAGGCACAAGGAACAAAGAGAAAAAAGTGTGCTAGTCCTGGACGGGGAAGGCAGGGTTTGGAAGGCATGAGGAATTCCTGTAAGGTGCCATTCAGAGTTGAAGTGTTTGGGCCTAAAAAACATATTAAAACTCTCATATTCGGGGAGCCACTGCCCATGACTTCCCTGTTCTCTTTTCCTTTAACCTCAAGCTGTAGTCTATACTCCGCTGGTCCCCTAGAGTTTGGATCTCCCAGGAATGCTCTAGAGGCCAGAGTAATTTCCTCTGTCTCCTGACCCCAGGGTCAGGTCTACTGAATCTCCCTGGCCTATTAGGGTCCTCTGCTCCTGGGTCCAAATTCTGCCCAGGAGAGCTAGATGAGCGAGCTGAGTCTCAATGCTGGAGAGGTTGGAAGGGAGCTTAGAGCTCACACTGTTTTTTGCCCCCTAGTTACATACCTCCAGTTCATGGGAACATGACATATTCAAAGGCAGCTCCTGTTACCAGCAATCAGATCTTATCATAAGAAAGTTCCTAAATTGAACCAAAATTCATAACTTCTGTTTATTAGTCTCAGCCAACTCTGTCCTTTGGAACCTCACAGAAATCCAATCTCTCCCTCACAAAAGTACTTGAAATACTGGAGGACAGCTATCCTGCTGCCTTGGGTATTTCTTCTCTAGACTAAGTAGATTTCAACAGTTTCTAAAAGAAAGTCTTCAGGTCACAGTTCCACCACAGACTCCCACCCACCAGGTCTCTAGAGTTTGGCACAGTGCCTTGTGTGTGGTGGGTTCTGAATCTACTGAATGAATGGGTGAATTCACCACCCTCCTTTGAACTCTTGTTAGTTTGCATCTGATCCTCTTGGCGCATGGAGTTCGGAAGTCCATTCTTGTCACATATTAACTGTGTCAACACTGAAATCAAATGAAGTTAGAGAAAAATTAAAAATTTATTGTGTATATAAAAAAAAGTTCACAAAACTGGAAGACTTCAAGCTGAAAGTGACTGGAAACTCAGAAAGTGAGGGTTATAGTTTAGTTTAATAAAGCTTGACAAGAAGTACATTAATCTCTGTCATGACTGACTGCTAGAAGCCTACATTTCTTTTCAGGTAGCACTGCTACATAAGCTCTGTAGCTGATTGGCTAGGAAGCTATGAAGTCATGCTGAACCAAGAAAATCTTATTTCACTTATAGTGAAAGCCAGCATTTTGGGGAAATCAGGATAGTTTTAAGTTTCAGTTATATGGCTATGGGTGTTTGGTCTAGGGGTATATTCAAATTATGGTCTCCATTTTTGTTTTTTTCTTTAACAGTTGTCAAGTAGAACTTCTAAATTCTGGTATTCTTTTTGGCAATGCCATTCCCCTGCTTTCTAAAAGGCTTCAGCACAGATACACACAGCTAGGGGAGTCTGGCTGTTGAGTACTTGGTCTTAGTTGTCACCTTAGCTAAGTCTGTGTCATTAGGGCCCTGGGCCCTGCAGCAGCAGTGAGGGCAGGGCTGGGCCAGAGCTGTGCCAGTACGAGGAAGGTGTGGCAGTTCCCAGGACAGAGCTTGAAGAAGGCCTGCTGGCTCCTTGATGTCTGTTTCCCTATCTGTAATCTGCAGGTTTGTCTCCTTTCCATCTGCTGAGGCTTCTCCTCTAACCATGGGCTGCCCTTTCTCTGATATGGCTGAAAACTAAACTTGCCAGCCCCATGCTTCCTCTCTGCATCTGAATGTCCAACTTTGGACTTCAATCTGTGCACGTCTTTAGGCTGGAGAGCAAAGACATTTCTTGGGCTTGAGCCAAGAGGGAGACGTGTCTGTGAGCCTCCCTCAGCCAGGTCAGAAGTTGCATTGCTAGGAAATATCTCTGGGGTCCCTCTGCAGGCTGGTGCCCTGGGGTGCAGTGGGCTCATGCCAAAGTTGGAAGACTCTAACCAGGCAGGGATGCAAGAGAACTATAGTTTAGGTCACTGGGGATGTTCATGGACTTGAGATGTACAGGAGATTTTGGAAAGGTTTGGCGAGGTGTGTGGAAAGAAACTCATTTCTGTGCACGGACACTGCTTGCCTGGCTCACTGCTGTTTCTCCAGCACATGGAACAGCTCCTGGTACTTGTTAGGTGACCAGTGAGCCCTTGTGAGGTGGTGAATGAATGAATGAGAAGAAGATAACGTTCCTGAAATCTTTTCTATGTGTCATGGACACTTCCTCATGCAAGTTAGAGCTCTGTGCTGGAGTCCAGAGGGACTCCAGTTACTATCCCGACTTCACCACTTACTGGCTTTGTGAAGCCAGACAAGTTTCTTAAAGGGGCAATATATCAGCTGCCTGAGGCTGCTTTCAGGGTTCCTTCCAAATGTGTACAGAACTTGGGAAATGGCACTTGCCACCTGCAGACTCAGGTGAGTGCCTCAGGACTCTGTGGTTCCACCTGAAATCTGTTCCCAAATTATCCTCTGGTTCTCTCTCTTGCTTTAGAAAATCTTTGAGAGGGACTGGGGCAGTTCTAGTGCCAGGCAGCCCTCAGGTTAGCCAAACAGCCCTTCACCAGGGCACACTCCTATCGGCTGAGTAGGAAGGGTGACCCAGGGGAACAAATGGGAGCCCCTTTACCCCTCAGGAGGCTGGCCCATGACACAGACTTCAGGCCCAAAGCACAGCTGAGGAAGCCAGTGTTGTTTCTTTCCTGTAAGTCTTGCTTCTCTCCAGCCGTTTCACATAACCCCAGAGCCACCAGCTTTGTGCTTCCTCTGCAGTGGAGGGGCAACAGGGTGGAGGGAGGTAAACCAGGCTGCCTGGCTTTTCTGAAATCTGGTCAGATGGCAGGCAGATAATTTTGGTTCCCTAGTCTATGTTCATCTCAGAGGTATGACAGGGATGCTATGTTTGGAGGTGTCATGGATTGACTGGGGACCCCTTCTTCTATATACTTTCCTCTGCCCCATTTTGGCCCTCTCCTCTGGACAGTAAAGATCAGACAAAATGTGCTGTATTGGAAAGTATTCTGGACCTGAACTTTTGAGAGTACACAGGTCCCAGGTCCTGCTGGATTTTCTCACTGTAAAGTGTGTGTATAAGTGAGCCTCTAGGTTGTAGATGGTGGAGGGGTGGTCCAGGTGCCCCTAAAGGGGGCCTCTTTCAGTATTGCTGTGAGGTCTGCTTTTCATTCTTACTCTAGATTCTCCAAAAAAGTGGGGGGGAGAACATATCACAAGGACAGCAGGTATTTGGGTGGTGGGGAGGAAGGAGCAAAGAGCACATGAGTCAGATATCAGCTTAGGATCAGCTTTATTCTGTATTTCACCTTCACCAGAGAGAAGAAGGCAAAACAGAGGCCAGAGAAGCCTACATCACAAGATACACATGACACCAGTAAAGAATGTATGTGATGAAAAAATGGGGGCCCAAAGCAGACCAGCCATGAAACACAAAGATTAACCAGGACCCCAAATGCCCCATCTCATCTTTCCATATTGGCTGTTTGATTTCAATCATTTAAATACATTTGTTTTATTTTTTAAAGCACAATCAACATCACAACATCCAATTATTTGATGTCCTTTTTTAGAATGCAGAGAAAAATTACCCAATTTTTGATTTCGTAATATCACCAAAGCTCTTCTCCACACCCTGGATGGTGGTGGTCAAGTACAGAGTCCACCAAATTCAGTTTGTTTTGAGGCTCCAGTGAGAGGCTGACACTCTAAAAAATGAATGCAGGCATCCTTGGCTGTTACACACTCAGAGCAGGGTGAATTTGTGCCCCAGTGGAGCTGAACTAGGCTTCTGAGCCCTTCTACTAAACTACTGAAAAAAAACACCCCAAAACTTATTCACCAAGGTTGGTGAAATACGGAGAGAACTGTCCTTAGAGACACAGACCAGGTCCTGGAATACTGAGAAAGCCAGGAGGCAAGAACAGGTGCACACAGAGGTACCCACAGGAGAAGGTCACCATAGCACAGGTTGGGGTTGGGTCTTCATCCATTGGCCATCTTCTTGATCCTAGATGGCATTATAAAAGCAGCTACTTTCCCTTGCCAGGGGGTAAGCACTTCTCCTGGACTTTCTGTGGGCAAACCTCCACACATTTTGGCTGGAGTGTCTCCTGGCATGGCTCCACACACTGAGGTGGGCATTGGTCTTGGCATGGAGGTGGGCACGGATCTTGGCATTGCTGTGGGCAGTTTTCTAGGTTTAACTCTTGGCACTGAGGAAGACACACCTCCTGAGCTTGCGCTGGGCACTTTTCTTGGCATGGGGGGAGGCACACCTCCTCAGCCTTTGCCTGGCACTGCTCTTGGGTCTTTTGAAGACATGGAGGAGGCACACATGGCTGCTTGCACTGCTGCTCATTAAAAGACATCTTAGGGCAATTTGCAGAACCTAGAACAAACATAGAAATTGAAATTTTTTGCATTAACAGTACCAGGCTGGGGACTGATGGATGAAGGATTAACAGAAGGGAATGGAGAATGAGTTATCGTTAATCACAAGAACCCATTTTTCTGCTGTTTTTCCCCATTCTCTTTTTTGTCTCTACTTCAGCAACCTTTGTTGCTCATCTTCTAGGTAGGAATATTGTCATTGCCCTTGTCTGGATATCCATCCATAGCACTCTCCTACCCAAAATCCCTGTCTTACCACAAGTATTTCCCCCCTCGTCTAGTTGACTAATCTTTTTTGCAAATCAGGTGCAAGAGACTAGATAGAATACACAAGGTGGTTTGAGAGGCCCAAGAAATGGCAAAGCACTTAAAAAATCCATAGAAAGTACTGACCAGTAGAGGAAGAGAACAGTAGTCTCCTAGAGACAGAGCATCTGGGGACAGAGGGCACAGGTGCCCCCACTTACCTGATCTTCAGCAAGACTCAAAGAATGTGGATTGCAGAGTCCAGCCAGGTAGGGACTTTTATATAGTGCTTGGTCCAGCCTTCCACAGGAATGACTGGCCACGTGAGCTGAGATCCTAATTATGGAGTTACCATAATGAGCTTCTTCTGAACCTGCCCATAGTTTGAGTCACTGCTTGGGATGCCTGTTAATCAGCCTCCATTTTGGCCTCTGGGTCCTCAGCAGACCTCAGCAGGGAGGGGCTCCTCTCAGATCTCTCATTAGAAGCAGCAGCAAAAGAATGTTCATAAAACGTTATCTCAGTCTGTTAAACTAGGATTGGGTTCATTGTCTGTCCAATGAACTGGCTCAGGATGTGGTGAGAGATAAGATCCAGCTTGCTCATCTCATCTTCACTAATGGGAAGACTTTATGCCAAAGGCCTGGGGTCTGTCTGGGTCAAGGGCACTTATGGCCTCTTTCAGAATGAATATGTCTTAACTGAACCTGGAAAGTCATACTCCCAGGCCCCAGGAAGATAGATTAGCCTGTGGCTCCAGGCTTACAAAAGACCCACAGCCTCCTGGAGAGAATGATTTTCTTGCACAGAAGTCTTGAGGGAAATTGGAGTCCTTTGCTATTCTTGGGTTGTGAAGAAGAGAGAGGAGGGAGAAGGCAGGTAATCTTCATCTCAACCTTGGTTTATGATATTTTTAAAAGTGGAGTTACAGAGTTTTTATAGTGACCAAGAGAACAGGATGGAACAAGGTTGGGCTGTCTCCTTGCCTTCTGGAAAAACTTTTCTTAGAACTCGGGTCAATAAAAGCCAGGGAGATGAAAGGAAAAGTTTCAAAGCAAACACACCCAGTTTTCTCTACTGCTAAGTTTCTGTTTGGGCTGTCACTTCTATTTGTTTGCCCTCCCTCTTTGTGCCTGTTGACATTTTAAGCATTTGTCAAGGTTCTACTCAAGAACCTGCAACCTTCCAACAGTTTGTCCTGGTTATTCTAAAGCAGAAATGACACCTCCTCTTTCTGAACTCTTGTAGTATCTCTTTTCTGTTATTTATATGACATTTACTATTGTTATTAGGAATTCTAGTTATTTATGTATAAGATCTTATTACTACCCTGGGTTGTAAGTTCTAAGAAGGTGAAGGCTGTGCCATAGATATAGAAAATAGAAGAAAAATGATTGTTGATGGAATAACTGCATTAATTAAGGGAAGAGGAAGGTGACTGCAGGAGACAACTGGGAGTATAGCAGGATCTTATATAGCAGAAAATGGGAAATGATTCATTATGAAAGAAGTCCTTAGACCACAAAGTGGTGGCCTTGAGCTTGTCTGCTATAGTGGACCAAATTCCAGGGACTTTAAAGATGACTATGGCCCCCTTAACCTGAAGAGGTATGTTAGGTCATTTCCTAAGAGAGGTATATGACTACAATCAGAAATTGCTTCAAAGTTTTATACAATTTTGGAACACCTGATCTCTAAAAAGTTTTTAAAAGGTGAATTGAAGGAGACCAGATGAACTTTTGTCCTTTAGGACTGGCACACAGACAGTTGGTATAGCACCAACATGAGTCCTCCCTGTCTTGGTAAGAAACAGATGCCTGGGTGGGGAGAGGTCAGAGATCGACCCAGGGGAGTCCCACTGACAATCCTGTGAGGGACATAATTTTCTGGAGGCTGGAATAGGAGTGGGCCTATATTATATGAAAGAGACATTTGGAAGACCCACCCACAGGTGAATCTGAAGAGACAAAATTATTTGGATCTGGAAACAGGTGTAGAATGCAGGACTCTCCACCTTTTCCTTCTCCTCCTCCTCTTTTTTTTTTTTTTAAATCTCCTCCTTCCTCTTTATCTCTTTCATTTTTTCCTGTGAAATGTTTATGAGAAAAGGCAATCTTCCAGAGCCCTAGAAAGCAAGAAATTCTACATCACTAGGTTTATTCATTTATTGTTTCAATCATTCATGGTCCTGCTTTCAAGGGGTTTATAGTCTCATTGAAAAGATAGGCAGAGGTAAGCCCTAGATCAAGGCCCCTTCATTAGCCTCGGGTGGAAGGTCCTTATGAGTTCCTGCAGGAGATGTCTGGGCTGTGTTTTACTGGACAGTAGGAATTACCTAGGCAAGCAAGGTGGGCAAGGGTATTCTATCCCTTTTTTCTGGGTTGAGAGAAGAGGAGTCTGAGGCTGATTCAGGAAAGGGGTGGGTGAGAGATTGGAAAAGGAGACCTGATTGATTGAGATTTTTAGTTTCTGATGAGATGAATGAGTTGACATTGCTCATGCCACATGCGTTTCAGTGTCTTTGGATGAGCCTAAGGAGAAAAAGACCAAATAAGGATGTACAGAATGATGGAGACACCAGGTCATGTTCTCATGGAGGAGGATGAACAGAGTTAAGAAGACCCCAGAGTTCAACTGTTCACAGAGAACTCTGCCTGACATTGAGCTGATTACACTGGAGTGAGCCCAGTCTACATGGAAAGGGGCACAGAAAAGTCAATGTCAGGGTCATGTGATATGAGAAAGCCCTGATCAGCCATTGCTGGTTTTGAAGATGGAAGGAGACCCCAAACCAGGTATGTATATAATTTCTAGAAGCTGGAAAAGGCAAGGAAACAGACTTTTCCCTGGAACATCCAGAAAGAAATACAGTTCTGTTGGCATTTTGATTTTATCCCAGAGAGACCTATGTCAGACTTCTGACTTCCATAACTATAAGACAATAAACTTCTATTGCTTTAAGTCATTAAATTTGTGGTACTTTGTTACTGCAGCAGTAGAACATTAACACACTTCCAATGTCTAAAGGTCTTGGGAACTTTGGAGGAAGAAAGTGTCATAGAAAGTAAAATCCCAGTTGGTGCTCTTTCATTTAAGTATATACTTCCTTATCACGTCAGCTCCTTAGTCAAAGACTAGTCTTTTGTAACACATGGAATACAAATTAGACTCAGGATCCCACTGACCTATTTACACGTAGAGTATGTGTAATATTGGGTAAGTTTCTTAGTCTCTCAGAGCCTCAATTCCTCTTGTTGAGAAGGAATAACACTATTTCACAGATTTCTTGTGAGGAATAAATTACAGGACATATATATACCAACACCTAGTGCCATCAAGCTGCTTATACAATGTAGCATAACTGAACCTGTTCAGGACTCATCACATTTGTGAAGCCTTCCTGACTTCCTCCAGTTCTTCTTGTTCCATCTTCTTTACTCCATCCCCACTACTGTCCACCAGCACTCAGTCTTTGACTTAAACTTTTCTACTCACTGTGATGCAGTAGACAAAATACTGCACAGAGGCCCAGGAGACCTGTCTCTATCCCTAAAAAGATGTGTGACCTCAGGTAAGTCCCTGACCCTCTCTGGCCTTACTTTTAATTACTTTTTTAAGATAGAAAAGTTAGACTAGGAAACAGTCAGGTCCATTCCAGCTTTGACATTCTGTGATACCATATATATGATCATGAATGATTAGCAAGGGTATCTATATAATGTCGTAAGTGTGTAGATGGCATGTATGGGGAGCCCTTACTCCTTTATTAGGTTATAATACACCCACCAGAAGACACATTTGTCTTCTGTGTGGGGAGGTGGCCCAGCAGAGTGGTGGAATGGCCTTAGGTGACCTAAGTTTTCCTAGGTACAGAGTGGGAGTATTTGGGGTATGAACCCTCAAAAATCAACCATAGTGGCCCAGTATCTGGGGCTGTGGCTTGGACAGCTATGGGGAGATTGTGTCACCCCACATCTTAAGGTAAGGTAACTAACTAGTTTCTCTAACCATCTCCAGCCCTCCAGCAAGATTGGGGCTAATCTGATTTAATTTTACCTGAGAGCTAAGATTTTAGATTTCTGCAACTGTCATTATTGGGAGCCAAGGTGTAATTACATAGGGTCAGTAGAAGAGAGTCAGCTCTGCTCAGGACATTGCTCCCCCCACCCCCCAATTCCCATCAAATAACTATCACCTTTATTCAGATTATGAAAGTTCCCAGACTCCTCTGATTCACTTGGCTGGCCTTGTCTGCATATTATAGGGTAAGGGCTCCGATAAAGCTGAATGGTGCAGAATGTGGTTCATCTCGTTTCTTCGGGAGCAGGTACCTCTGGAGAGCTTACTGAGCTTGTGGATTCCTGGGAGAGAGTCCAGGAGAGTCCAATCCTCTCACTTTGCTTCCTCCAGTGTCACCTACAGAAGGAGTCTGAGTCAGAGGTTGTGGGAGGGGCTGTGGATCACAGACCACTGGAGCCGGAGGGGACAGGAGAGGCCACCTAATTATACCTCTTTGTTTTAGCCCAGCATGTACTTTAAACAAGAGGCACAAAATTATTTATTGACTGGATTTTTTAAGATGAGTAAAGTGAGGCACAAAAGTGTTAAGGGCCTTGTTTAAGGTCATAAGGTGAACTCATGTCTAGACAATACAATGGTCTATATAAAAACATTTAGGAGCTTTGTTTTAAAATTGATTTTGAGATGGGGAGAGAGAGAGAAAGAATAGGGGGGAGAGAGAGAGAGAGAGAGATTGAGATTTGTTCTACTTATTTATGCACTTACT